TTCCATTCACAGAACACTGCTGTGGAGAAATGTACAAATGCAGAGTCATCTTACCACAGATGCCATCATTAATACGGGAGGATGGGATAAACATGGGCCTGTAACCAGCATTGGTGCAATGGAAGCTGCCATTCGGACAAGCAGCAGTGCCTGAGGACAGACATAAACAACTGTTATGCACACCATCTCCATGATACCATCAAACTGTACCGTATCACCGCTTTCTACCCGTCATGGCCTTAAGAAAGATAGCTTACACAAAATATTACAATTCTGAGATTTGTTGCACTCAATCTCTCATTGAACACAAAATATTTAGCAGAATGTCCAAGCTGTTTTGTTCAACACAATGAAAGTGAATGTGGAACAGAAACAGCCATAGTCTCCATTCACTTTTATTGAATGAAAAAAGAGTAGCTTTTGTATTCTGTTAGATATCTTCCTTTGTGTTCCATGCAAGTCATAAAGGATTTAATTTAAATTTTTTGGAGAACCCTGTAGCTTATCCCTTTGCAAACTTTATCCACATATACTTTACACATGTTAAAGATTTATTTATTTATTTTAACATATACAGATATTAGCCTTTATTTGTTCTGTTTTTAGCACATTTTTAACTGCACAAATACAGTTCTGTCCATGAGTGTCACGCAAGCATGTCAAAACTTCCGTTTACCGTATTTGATGTGCTATTTATATACACGTGTTGATCAATGTTTATATGTGAATAAAAGTAAAAACTAAATTAAATCTGCTGATCATATAAAGTGATCATGTCTCTTCAGAAGACTTGTATTAAACCAATGGATTACTTCTACAATGTATTTATGAACTGTTTGAAACCTGAAAGTTTTGGTCGCATGAATTTTCAAAGGAAGAATACAAAAATCTCTCAGATTTAATTTTTAGTATGTTTTTCTTTTGTGTTTTGAAGATCAACAAATGTCTTACGGTTTGGAACAACATGAGGATGAGTAAATGATCACAATTTTTGGGTGAACTAACACTTTAAATGTACAAACTAGACTTTTCAGGAAAACATTTCACTGCTAAATGACTTTGAACATAAATAAGAGGTGAAAAGCTTTCAATTAAAGCTAATCCATCTTAAATTATAAAATCTAGCGTAGCGTCAGTTCTGGCAGGTCACGTTAGTCAAGCTCGCATCAGCTGACTCTCAGCTGATCCCCATCAACCTATGGGAATACGACACCTATCTAAGTATTCATATATAAGGTCCCGCAGTAGTTAGGCCTGTCACGATAACAACTTTTTGTTGTGCGATATATTGCCCCAGAAATAATTGCGATAAGCAATATTA